CCACTTTTGCACCGCTTCCTGCAGCCCAGATCTTGCTCCCTCCGACTTTCATCTGTTTGGGCCGCTCAGGAATGCTTTGCGAGGTCGCCAATTTTCTACAGACGTAGACGTGCAGGAAGCGGTGCAAAAGTGGCTTTGCGACCAATCGAAAACCTTTTTCTTGGAAGGAATACGCAAGCTTGTGGACCGCTGGACCAAGTGCATTGCCAAGGGAGGAGACTATGTTGAAAAATGATGTATACATTGAACCCCTATTTTTGTGTAAATAAATTGAAGAACGAAAAGTGCAGATAATTTTTTACTCACCCTCGTATAACTGTATGGTGAAGGAAGATGCGCGAAGGAATGTGGCGAGTTATCATACGAGGAGGGAAATCGGCGCCAATTGTTTGCGCGAAAAGTTATGGATAGAGACAACGATGACGTTCAGTAGTCGAGCGAAGACGTATATGAGTGGAATACTACCGAATAGGTGTTATTTCGATAAGAAAAAAAGTGTATTCAAGAGCGAGTGAAATTCAGACTTCCACGACTAAACGAGGAATATGTATTATGGCTGAAAAAATCGAGGCAAGCGAGCTGATCGAGAACGCGGCGACTGTCGTCGACGAGGACGATTATCACGCGTGGGAGCGTCGATGCGAGGAGTGTTTGGAATCATTGAGGCAAGAGTGTCAAAGGTGTCGGAATACTACCGGAACGGTCAATTCTCTTGTCGCTTTGATCGCGCGTTTAGAGGGAGCGAGGACCGAACTGCGAGGTTGCGTAGTTCGCGCGGATGCCGGTCACGATGGATTCACATGGTTGGAGATCGAGACTGCTTTTCGGAGACGGATACTCACCGGTGCGGTAATCAATTCCCGTTACATCGAGCCTAGACGATTTCTCGAGGACGTCGGAGACACGGTGATGGAGAAGATACGCGAGAATTTGGATAAACACACTTGTTTGAAAGTCAACACGGTGTTCAATGGGAAATTCGTTGCGAGTGAAAAGACCGCTGTAAAGAGCATCGTCACGAAAATCCGACAGCTGTTTCTCACCACAGATCTGTCCGAATGGTACGACAAGGTGATCGAGAGGACTTTGACGAAATTGGAGGAGTTTCAGGAGCGTGGCAGTAGGTGGGCGCTGTCACGCGTAATGAATTTAATGATTAACGTTAACATGTGTAATCCTATGCGCGTGGGATGTTGGATCGATATGCCGCCACTGACAAAAATGAAGAGAGCGGTTGTGAACGTACAATCAACGGATAACGCATGTTTCGCGTGGGCGGTGGTTGCGGCTTTATATCCTGTCGCGAGGAATTCCGCGAGATGCACTCAGTATCCCGATTATCAAACGGTGTTGAAGCTCGATGGAATAGACTTTCCTATGACCTTGAGACGAATTAGAAAATTCGAACGTTTGAACGATATATCTGTCAACGTGTTTACCACGAGGGAGGAAAAAAAGGATGGAACGATCGTTCCTCTGCGTCTCACCGACCGCAAAACAGATATTCACATAAATTTGCTCTATCTGTCGGATCCGCGATACTGCTCCCAGGAGGGCCATTTCGCGTGGATAAAGAATCTATCGCGATTGATTGGGAGTCAGGTGCTCAGACGAAAAAACAAGAAGTATATTTGTGATTGGTAAGTGTTAAGAGAGAAAGAGAGAAATGTGAATTGTATAATACAGATAATAATAATAATTCCAGATGTCTGCATTACTTCCACTCGAGGGAAAGATTATCCACACACATCGTGGATTGCGAAAGAATGAATGATTGCGCGATCGTTCTTCCCAACGAGGACGACAGGTGGCTCAGCTTTCGTAACTATGAACGAAAAGAGAGACTTCCGTATGTGGTATACGCCGATCTGGAGTGCGCCTTAGAGAAGGAGCAGGAGGAGAGTGAATTTGTATCGCGAAACAGATTTGCCTATCAACATCATACAGCATTCAGCGTTGGCTATTACGTGCGATGTGTGCGAGACGAGGATGCGACGACGTACAAATCTTATCGCGGTGAGGATTGCGTATCGTGGTTCGTGCGGGAATTGAATACTCTCGCGCATCGCGCAAAGCAGACTCTCAGCGCGGTCGTGACTATGACGCCACTTACGTCAGATAAGGTCTTACATACAGGTCTTGCAACTCATATGGTGGGGGTAGGTCGCGTTGCAGTCTATGTTCTTTTGGGGGCGAGGGACGCTGGAGGCCGGGAGGGATATCTGTCTGTCTTTGTCCCATGCACGGTAAACTTGACATATCGCCTCCAGCGTCCCTCGCCCCCAAAAGAACATAGACTGCAACGCTAGCGGCCATTACAAGAACTACAAAATTTCCTTCCTAAAGACGCGTAGCTTTCGGAACGCGAATCTTTGTCACAAATGCGGAAAGCCATTTGACCCGAGGGATCAGCGCGTTCGCGATCACTGTCACATAACCGGACGTTACAGGGGTCCGGCTCATGCGCATTGCAATTTAAACTACAACAATTCCTTCATAATTCCTGTGTTTTTTCACAGTCTCTCGGGTTACGATGCGCATTTTCTTATCGAAGAGATAGCCAACGGTTTCGAGGGTAGAGTGGAATTGTTACCGTTGACCAAAGAAACGTACATCTCGTTCACGAAAGTCGTTCAGGACACGTCGCTGGGAAAGGGGTGCAATTGTGTGAAGCTGCGATTTGTAGACTCGTGTAAGTTTTTAAGCGCCAGTCTCGCGAAATTGGTGTCGTATCTGGACAAGAACGAACTGCGAATAACGCGGTCAGCGTTCTTGAACCTCGACGACGATGATTTCGACTTGCTCACGCGTAAGGGTGTGTCCCCGTACGAGTATGTCGATAGCGTCGATCGGTTGCTCGAGACCACGGTCTTGTATACAGGTCTCCCGACTGCCTCTAATTTTCGATGGTGGGGGTTGGTCGCTTAGTGAGGAAATTTTGTAGTTCTTGTAATGGCCGCTAGCGTTGCAGTCTATGTTCTTTTGGGGGCGAGGGA